TGCAGAGGACTGGCAGCCTGGCCCCGCCCCTTCTGCTTGAGGCCCCGCCCCTTCCGGGAGCACGGAGCTGCGCCTTCCCCCCACCTTGCTGATGGGCCCGGCCCCCCTGCAATGCCCAGCGGTGCATTCGGGGCGCAGGCTCCCCGTACATCTACGGAGAGGGAGCCAGTCTCAGCAGCCAGCAGGCCGAGTGGGGAAAGGGGCAGGGTTGGGGGCCCCACCCATCTTCCACCTACCGGAGCCTCTCTCAGCTGGGAGCCGACTCCTGGAGCCTAAGCCAGGCTGCCTTTTCTCCCCACCCACCGACTCACTGGGCAGAGAACTCCCAGGGTGCCAGGAGACCCAGGTTGAAATCCCTGCTCTGCAGCAAGGATTGCACCGAGGTCTCTGACCTCCCTGAAAGGAGCCCGGGCCCCCTGGCTACGGGGTATTCTGGGACCAGCCCAGTGGATGCCTGACAACGCCTACAGGATCAGCAGGTCAATGCCACCTGTGCGAAGGCCACCAGGGCTAGGGCGTGAGGTGCAAGCGGCTCGTTTGCTGTGTGGGTGGGAGGTGGGACGTCAGGATTTGGCTGCTTTGCCTGTGCCCACCGGCAGAAACTCCGCTGCCTCCCAGGTCCGGCAGCAGCTGAGCCGTGGTTTTGAGAATGTCAGTGGCCCCTGGCCGTTGGATACCCCACAAGGCAGGTTGGTGCCTAAGACCCTTGGCGCACCTCGCCTGCAGTCGCCTGCCCACGTGTTGGCCGGCTGTTCCTGCTAGGCAACGCTGCCCCCTTTCCCAGCATGGCAGGGCCGTGTGCCATTGCAGCCAAGGTCTCTTGTGACACGGCTGATCCGGCAGGAGATGATCTATCCCTGCTGCACAGTCACCAACAAACCAACGGTGGCAGCCTCTGGATCATTTCATCCCCCGCCTCACCGTGAACCAGGGCCCAGGATGATAAGAAATTTCCACGTTGCACCATCATTGTTCAGTTCAGGGGTTCTCAGCACTTTCCTGGAGGCATGGAACTGCCTTCGGACGCAGTCCAGCAGTGTCTGTGACGTGAGGCCTGTGCCCGCTGGCGGATTACATTAGTTCCTCAGGGTGGTGCTTCGTTTGCCTCTGCGCTCTTGGTTCATGCAAACGAGCCTCGCAGCGGCTGAGAAGGAAGACAAAGTGAGAGCCGGTTCGGAGCACACCACCAGTGTGACGCAGCCTTGTGTAATTCCACCCCCTCAATTGGCTGAGGGCACGTCATTATTTGCGATGGGCGAGTTCTACTGGTTTGCTCAGGAGGGGAAGGGTTAGTGCCTAGGGATTGTCCCTGGGCCAGTACATATTCGGGACACTTTTGCAAGGCTGTTACCAGCTGGACACAAGTGGAGGTAACTGCTCAGACCTCAAGTGAAATGAATGGGAGGGCTTGTTCACCCTACAAAATTAGGTCAACTTTAATTTTTTAATTTGAGCTGCTGGTGGGGTCTCTGCTATCCTCCTCCTGCCAGCGGTGTGTGTCCTCACCAAGAGCGTTTGCACCGACTGAAGTGGGGCACTGACAGCGGAGTATGGGGCACCGACAATTCTGTGGGGCCCAGCTGGAGTCCCCCGTGCACCTTAGGATGACAGTCTGAATGATGAGCCAGGTGCAGGCTCAGTTTCTCAGCAGGGAGACTACCCGGCCTGAAATGGACTTCCTTGTCAATTTCACTGCTCCAGTTGTGAGCCTAGGTCTGGAGGGACACAGTAGGAATAAGAGATCCTCCGGAAAAGGGCTTTATTCCGGAGGATCGCACCAGTCTAGACGCTTTTTTCCGGCTTATCCCCAAGCCGGAAAAAAAGCGGCGGCCATGTTTATTTAAATCCCACGGGGGATATTTAAATACCCCGCGGATTTCCCTATTCTGAAGTTGGAAATTAACATGCCTCTTCCGGAGAAGGGGCCAATGTAGACGTAGCCTATGGGTATGTCTAGACTACAGTGGACTTTTGTCAGCAAAACTATGCCTGCGTCTACACTACTGCCGAATTCTGTCAACATAACGTTAACAGAACTCAGCAGTTTTGTCGACGGCAGTAAACCTCATTCTACAAGGAATAACACCTTTTGTCGACAGAGTTCTGTCCACAGAAGGCATTATTGCATCTACACTGTCCTTTGTGTCCACACTGTCATGTTGACAAAGCGGCTTGCTTTGTCGACAGAACTGGATGTAGTCTAGACGCTCTTTGTCGACAGTTGCTTTGTCGACAGTATCTGTCAACAAAAGCTTGTAGGCTAGACGTATCCTATGCTATTACACTGTTGGCTGTCATTCTTGTCAGTTTCAGGGCTGCTACTGTGTCCCTCCAGACCTAGGCTCACAACTGGAGGTGAGGTGAGGTCAGAGGTGAGGAACCTAAAGGCCCGGGGGCCGGATGTAGCCCCTGGCTTGCCTGGATCTGGCCCCTGAAGCTCTGGGCTCCCACCCTCCCAGCATGGGGGAGCCTGCTCCAGCCCCCCCCATTCTCCTGTGGGGCGAGAGCACACAAAATCTACTAACCTGAGCCCCCCTAGGCCCTGGGTTTTTGAAGTTTTTTGGCTTCTCACTTGTGTGTGGCTCCCAACTGATTTATCTGTGGGTCAGTAGACCCCAGCCCAAAAAGGGTTCCCTGCCCCTGCTCTAAATACAGGCCTGTCAGACTACAACCCCCAGAATCTTACATTAAGGAGGAGGGGTAAGGAGGCCAGGTGTCCGGTTTTGAACCAGCCAGTCCAGTACTTGAGCTTTCTGTTCGGGAAACAAATTGAGAAAATGTAAATGAGAAAATAGACCTGTCCGGTATTTTCTAAATCAGATGTAATATAGATTGTGATGTCATGTCAAGTGTGTCCGGTATTTCTGTTGAAACCATCTGGCAACCCTAATGAGAGGTTCACTGTTTGGAGTGAAATACAGGGATGCTGCAGGGTCTCCAAGCCAGAGGAAGCCCCGTGGTACAAAGTGGAGTTTTCCTGCCACGTCTGATGCCCCACAGACATGACTGCACAACAGAAGTGCTGGTGGCCCTCCTCCGGGCAGTGAAACAGAGGCAGGACTGAGCTGGCCGGTCACAGCTACCCAGCATGGCTAGAGAGAACTAACTGGTCCCAATCAGCCCTGAGACACGAGGAATTTCCGACTGAAATCAGGAGCAAACAGGAGGCAGAAGAGATATTCTGCCTGCAGCAAACACCTCCAGTGCTATGAGCTCTTTGCTTCTCTCCAGCACAGAAGGCTGTTTTCCCGCAGCTCTAGCATGGCTGAGAACCAATCATAGAATACTAGGACTGGAAGGGACCTCGAGAGGTCATCGAGTCCAGCCCCCCGCCCTCAAGGCAGGACCAAATACTGTCTAGACCATCCCTGAGAGACATTTATCTAACCTACTCTTAAATATCTCCAGAGATGGGGATTCCACAACCGCCCTGGGCAATTTATTCCAGTGTTTAACCACCCTGACAGTTAGGAACTTTTTCCTAATGTCCAACCTAAACCTCCCTTGCTGCAGTTTAAGCCCCTTGCTTCTTGTTCCATCCCCAGAGGCCAAGATGAACAAGTTTTCTCCCTCCTCCTTATGACACCCTTTTAGACCCTTTTAGAATGACTGGGGATGTTTTCAACCCAGGACCGTCTCTCATTTGGTGTCGGGGTAAATTCACTCGGGGGCAGGCCTGACACTTCTCAGACAGAGCAGGGTCCATCTGCTTCCCCCGGTAGTACTCTTTGGAACTACAACTCCCCCCACTACCTCTTCCACACCAGCACCTATCCACATCCCTGTCACGTCTATTCCAATTCATCTGATGAAGCGGGTTTTACCTGCGAAAGCTTCTGCCCTCATCAGTCGGTTAGTTTCTAAGGTGCCCCAGGACTCCTGGTTGTTTCTGCAGAGACAGACGAACACGGCGCCCCCTCTGGGGGGAGGCTCTGGGGGTGTTCTGAAGATAATCAGCGGCATCAATACGCGGGCGGCTGGTGCAAAGCAGAGGAGGCAGCAGGCAGACGAGCAGACTGATGTCCTGCCCGTAGCGCGAGCAAACAGTAACACTGAAACACTTGTGTTACCCGTCGGCCTGCTCTTACGCCTCAGGGGCGCCACTGATGGCCGAATTAGGCCTATCACCTGTTCATGTCCCCTATGGTTTTCATGGCTCTCCCTGCAAGATGCAGTGGCGGGGGTGTGAGGGGACAGGCACAGACAGATGTTCAAACTCCGTGAGTTGGGCTCACCAAAAAAGCATGAGATTGGCAATCAAATCACAAGAGTAGGTAAAAAAATTATAGATTCGGTGTCCTTTGACTTGCCTTCTTAGAATCACAGAATCCTAGAGCTGGAAGAGACCTCGGGAGGTCATCAAGTCCAGCCCCCTGCTCAAGGCAGGACCAGTCTCAACTTCAGCAGGTGAGGTCCACACACACTCCTGTGTCACAGTGGTCTGGGTACAAGATTGATGCCACAAAATGTTAGTTGGGGTTGGTCCTGCTCTGAGCATCAGGTTGGTCCAGATTCCTTCCCGAGGTTTCTTTCGGCCCTAATCTTCTAGGATTCTATGAATTGCAGCCACCACACTGGAAAAGTTGGTGTCTGTGCTGAGTTACTCTATAACCCTGGGTCTATTAGAATGGAAATGGATGGGGCAGCTTTTCGCCAACATCCTGAAGACCAGTGAAGTCCTCTGTGCTGCTTGAAGCTTTCTCCCCTGCCTGGAGGGTTTAGAAACGTAGTTTTCCTGCTCGAACGAAAGCGGAAATCATCCCGTTTCCACTTGATTCCAGGAGCTGGAGCTTTCAGGAAAACACAATGCTTCTATGTAGCACGAAGCTCAGTACAAAATTGCGAGAGCTGGAAATAAGGGGCAAACTGAGTCAAGGGAATGGGGCTGGGGGCTGGCGGTGAGTAAATGCTGGATTTTCAGTTCTTGGGAAGCTTGTGGGGGGTCTAAACAACCCAGGCCTGAAGGTCTCCTGCGTAGCCTGTGACCCAGACACTCGCATCAACAGAATGCAGCCACATGGGCACCCCGTGCGCGTCCTCTCTCACTGGGACCGTCAGGCCTTTTGTATAAATGGAACCTGGATCCAAATCAGCCATCGATCCAGTACGACAAGGCCCCCAAACCACGCTTGGTCCTATTGGTCCGGGTTGCAAGTGAGCTATAAGCCAAGGTACATATTTCAGTTCTACTAGGGCAGGATGGGCCAGGTCAGGTAAGAAATGGGGGCTTATATCTCTTTCGGCTTTGTGTATTTCCTCGACCTGATGAGTCGAGCCCTTCTGTTTACAGCCCTATAATCCTGGCAGCCGCAGGCATCCTGCTGGGGTCCTGCCTGTGCCAAGCACCACACCCAGCATTGGAGCTCTCGAGCTAATCCTAAAAACTAACTCTGGCTGTCATTCACTGGACCCACTGGCTTAGGTCAATACACAAGCTCAAAGAGGTTCCTCACAATGGAACTGCTTAACGCCTGTTTACTTGAGGATGATGTTTCACACTTAAATTACCTGGGGAAAAGAATCGCGTGTGTAAACTCTCCCTGGCTTAAAATAAAAATGGCCGCCGCACTGTGCCGGCTCAGCGGATCGTCGGCACAGCGCGTGAGTCAAGACGCGGAGCGGTTGATAAGGGAAGCCTTTGTTGACCACTTCTCGAGGCATAAGGGATTGGTCGGCAAAGGCTTCCCTTGTCGACTGATCCGCATCTTGACTGCCGTGCTGTGCCAGCACAGCATGGTGGCCATTTTTATTTTAATGAAGCCAGGGATATTTAAATCCCCGCTTCATTGACTATGTCAGGTAGTCTAATTTACATGCCTCTGGAGACAGAGGCAAGTAGTCTAGACATACCCTAGGTGTTTCTGAAGCCACTTTTATTCCAGACTAGACTGTTCCCCCAGGGAGCTATTCTGGAATAGCTCTGCGGGTCGGTTTGGCTGTTGCACACAAGGCCTTTGATGGGGGTACATTGGGAGACACCGAGAACTCCCCCATCCTAAAGAAATCCCGAGTGGGAGCTGGCTACACGTCACCCATTCCCCAGTTTTGCGTGGCAGGGGTCTAAGGGAGTGACCTATGGTGGAGTGGCAGCTGGATGTAGGGGAATCTGGTCCAGAGAGTTTAAGGGCCTTGCCCTAAATCGCACTCTAGTGCGTGTCTGAGCCACGTTTCCCTCTCAGTTTAGGGCAAAGCTATTAGATCATATTCCCACCGACCAGGCAGGTTTCAGGTTCTAAAGATTCACCCGGAACAACCCATCACAGGAAATTGCCTGTCACTCCGTACTGCCTGCGCTCATTATTATGTAACAGCTGGGAACCTGCCCCCACCAGGGCCGAGCAAACCAAATGAGCATTGAACTTCTACTGCGCTAGAACCTGGGCGAGGGTGAAACAGCCCCCTCCAGCTAAACACGCCCTGGGACGCTTGCCTCATTTCCCATTCTTGATTGCTAAGTCTCCTCTCATTGCTTTTGTGTTGCATCTACAGACACAAACGTCTCCTCTTGCCTCAGCTGGACAACGGAGATCAAGGGAAATGTGCCGGTTCTAGCCGCTTTCCAAAGCGAGGTGTTGCAATGGTGAAGGCCTATGCTGCGGCAAGCCGGTGCTCTGCCCGAAATAATCATACAATGCTAGAACTGGGAGAGACCTCGAGAGGTCATCGAGTCCAGTCCTCTGCTCTCACAGCAGGACCAAGCACTTAGACCATCCCTGTCTAACCTACTCTTAAATATCTCCAGAGATGGGGATTCCACAACCTCCCTGGGCAATTTATTCCAGTGCTTCACCACCCTGATAGGTTGGAAGTTTTTCCTAATGCCCAACCTAAATCTCCTTTGCTGCAATTTAAGCCCATTGCTTCTTGTCCTATCATCCTCCTTCTCAAAACACTCTTTGAGATACTTGAAAACCGCTATCGTATCATAAGAACATAAGAACGGCCATGCTGGGTCAGACCAAAGTCCAGCCAGCCCAGTACCCTGTCTGCCGACAGTGGCCAATGCCAGGTGTCCCAGAGGGAGTGAATCAAACAGGCAATGATCAAGCGATCTCTCTCCTGCCACTCATCTCCACCCTCTGACAAACAGAGGCTAGTAGCCATTTATGGACTCAACCTCCATGAAGTTATCTGTTCTCTTTTAAACCCTGTTATAGTCCTAGCCTTCACAACCTCCTCAGGCAAGGAGTTCCACAGATTGACTATGCGCTGTGTGAAGAAGAACTTTCTTTTGTTTGTTTTAAACCTGCTGTCCATTCGTTTCATTTGGTGGCTCCTAGTTCTTATATTATGGGAACAAGTAAATAACTTTTCCTTATTCACTTTCTCCACACCACTCCTGATTTTATATCCCTCTATCATATCCCCCTCAGTCTCCTCTTTTCCAAGCTGAAAAGTCCCAGTCTCTTTAATCTCTCCTCATATGGGACCCATTCCAAACCCCCTAATCATTTTAGTTGCCCTTCCCTGAACCTTTTCTAATTCCAGTATATCTTTTTTGAGATGAGAAGACCACATCTATATGCAGTATTCCAGATGTGGGCGTACCATGGATTTATATAAGGGCAATACGAAATTCTCCGATTTATTCTCTATCCCTCTTTTAATGATTCCTAACATCCCGTTTGCTTTTTTGACTGCCGCTGCACACTGCGTGGATGTCTTCAGAGAACTATCCAAGATGATATCCTCTCTCAGTCTTCTCTTTTCCAAACTAAACAAGCCCAGTTCTTTCAGCCTTCCCTCAGAGCTC